ACCTTTCAGGAGAGTTGCGGTATTCTAGCAAGACGCATTGCTGTTGTCCAGGTGGCATAATTTGAGAAAAAATATAATCTTTTTGGATATGGAATGGAAGCACGCAAAGCGTATAAATATAATTAAATTTAAAACAAAATAAAACCATCTTAGTAGGGTTTTTTTTCAAGAAAAAGACCTCAGTATTCCTGGACTAGTACTTAAAAGCCTCATATATTAGAATATACAGATACAAGTGCATAAATAGGAAGAGATATCTCTAAGCAAAATTTCCTTTATCAATAACCAGAAACATAGTGAGAAAATGTGACGTGATCAATATCTGTGTGTGGTCGTAACAGACAAACAGCACACCGATTAGTGCCAGCTTTATCAAACACCCAACGTAAACTGTTTTTTTTTCTAAATCAAAGTAAACTAAAGTAATTCTAGATTTTGACTCTCAGTCACAGCTGTGGGAGGAAAGAAACTGCAGCCTATCTGAATCTAAATGGTTGGGTTTCCAGCCTGTTCTGCTTATCATTCTATGTTTAATACCATTATAATGTTTACATTTAATGATTATGTTTAATGTTTATACCATTTATATCACCAGATTTCTGGTGTTTTCAAGCTTAATTAGAAAATAGAGCACAGGGAGCTTATAAGGTTAAGATCTTGCATCAGAATGCGAACGAGTCCTGTCAGGCATCAGTGGGCAGCCCTTGATTTGACAGGTTTGCTAGTCAGCAATTCTTCGTTAACTCCTCAGTTAATATGAATCTTCCTGGTTTCCTACAGGTGGGTTAAGAAATGGGAATTCACAGGAAGAACCCTGGGCACTGCTGCTGTTTCTCACATTTCAGCACCACTGGCAAGCAGTAGCACTTCTATTAACCACCCCGCTATTTGCAATCCAGATTTTGAAGAAGAAAAATGGAATATTGTGTACGAAACCTGTCTATCAGCTTGATATAACCCTCAGATGCATCTACACTCATTCCAGTTTCAACTCCAGTGAGGGCCAGGGACAACATCAGCTGCCAGGTGACTTTGTCAGGGTCAGAGTACAAAATCACACACGAGGTGTGTAGTGCTTGTAACGTGACTTGGAATTAAGAATAAAGTCGTGATCACATCACTTAAGAGAACAATTAGAACAATTAAAGAAATAATCCATACAGCAAAACATAGTTTGGCAACTCGTAGGAAGGTCTTGCACAAAGCATGGCTCACATCCCACTGGTGGTCTGAAGAGGTATATAAGAGCGCTCTGAACGCCTCAGTTCCATCAACGACAGCTCTTCGTCTCCAGTTCTACAGACCTGGTGAGTTGGATCCTCTTCATTCTCTATATGAACCATTAGGAAAATATTTTCAGTATTTAACTGAGGACTTAGTCTTCTGCAGAAAGTGTGATGCTAAGCAATGCCGTTTGCCTTTTCTCAGACATTAATTTTTATAGTCATATAAATGTACGCATTTGTAGACACAGCTGACAGGCAACAAAGCTGGTGAAAGATCTTGAGAATAAGTCTTATAAGGAGAGGCTGAGGGACATGGGGTTGTTCAGTGTGAAGAAAAGGAGGCTCAGGGAAGACCTTATTGCTCTTTACGAGTACCTGAAAGGAGGTTGTACATAGGTGGGCATTGGTCTCTTCTCACAAGCTACAGCCAAAAGGACAAGAGGAAACAGCCTCAAGTTTCGCCAGGGGAGGTCTAGGTTAGACATTAGGAAAAACTGCTATGCTGAAAGGGTTATCAAAGACTGGAACATGCTGCCCAGGGAAGTGGTTGAATCGCCATCCTTGGATGTATATAAAAGCCATCTAGGTATGGTGCTCAGGGATGTGGTTTAGAAGTGGACCTGGTAGAGTTAGATAATGGTTGGACTTGATGATCTTAAAGGTCTTTCCAACCATAATGATTCTGTGAACTATAAGTCTGGATTTCCACAGGAACTTGGAGCAATTCGATGTTGTGTGTTAGCTCCAGAGGTATATATTATAATCCAACAAAATTTAGAAGATGAGCTGCTTCCAAAGACACACGGACTTTGGTTTTGCTCTCCATGATTACCAGTAGTTCTAGAGCAGCAGAAAGTACTTTAGGAAGTAGCAGGTGTTAGTGCCTGCATGTTCAGAAAAACTTATGAAAGAGAGAAACCTGAGTAATTCTAAACACTCTTCTTCTACCCTTTCTTCATGCTCGTGAAAGACATCAGATCTGCAAGCTTTTTTCCCTCTGGCATTCTGGCATTGTACTTACATTTTATCTCCTGCTGCAGGTCTATCTACATCACAAAAGATGTCTTCAGGAGGACAGCTCATGAGCAGCAGATGCTCCTCACCCTGCGAGGTGACCTGCCCAGAGCCCTTCGCCAACGCCTGGAGCCAGCCATGCGTCACCTCCTGTGGGGACTCCCGGGCCGTGGTCTACGCACCACCCGTGGTCATCACCTTCCCAGGCCCCATCCTCAGCTCCTGCCCTCAGGAGAGCATCGTGGGCACCTCCTTCCCATCACCCATTGGAGGGTTTTCAGGAGGAATGGGCTCTCTTGAATCAGGGGGCTCCTTTGGCTCTGGGGGCTCCTACGGAGGAAGCAGTTCATTAGGGATGGGAGGTTCCTACGGTGGGGGCAGTTCCATGGGCATGGGAGGCTCCTACGGTGGGGGCAGTTCCATGGGCATGGGAGGCTCCTATGGAGGCAGCAGTTCCATGGGCATGGGGGGCTCCTACGGTGCGGGCAGTTCCATGGGCATGGGGGGCTCCTACGGAGGCAGCAGTTCCATGGGCATGGGGGGCTCCTACGGGGGCAGCAGTTGCCGAGGAATGGGGGGCTTGTCCGGAGGGGGTAGTTCATTTGGCTCTGGGGGCTCCTACGGAGGAAGCAGGTCGTTTGGAAGCTCATACAGAGGCAGAAGATCCTTCGGCTCCAGCTCCATGGGCGGGGGCTTTGGGGGCTCCTGCGGAGGAGGCAGCTCCTACGGTGGGGGCTCCTTTGGAGGAGGCCGGTCCTTTGGCGGGGGCAGCTACTCTAGTTCCCGGAGGTTTGGTGGAGGAAGCTGTGGCTCCGGCTTTTTCTGAAGAGGCAACATCTCACGCTGCCGCAGCCCTGGGCTGTGCTGACCTCGCAGGGGCAGCTGAGACCTGGTGATGTCCAAGCCATTGACTTTGCTGGCACGTGTGGAGCTGCATGACTTCCCAAAGCCCTGGGGAATGTCCTCTGTGCTCCGCGTGCCTCTCTTCACCAATGTACCCCGTGCTTCTCTCACATTAAAGCTATGCTGCATCAGTACATTTGCCTAACGTTGTCTTTTTCACCTTTTTATCTACAAACAACTTTGGTTGTGAAACTCATTGCCATGAAGGCAGCTGACAGCTTAAAACTTTCTGTCTTAAGTCTTTAGAGACTGTGGAGGCTTTGGAGCGGTGCAAAATGTTGCACCCTGTGACACATTTTAGGATTCCTGCCGCTGAACTGGAATTCTGCTTCCTGACAATGTGTGATTATCTTACCGCCAAGCCGCGGAGCTACATAATGACTGCAAACAAATTATCTAATTGTTTTCAAATTGAGCGTGTTTCTTCAGTCATATTAACATTTTGCTTGGAGCTGGTGAGTTTGTTGTCTGCAGTCATTAAATAAATCACAGATTAAAATTCCTTAACTTCTTTAAACACAGGAAACTTTAGTGATTGCTTAGTCATGTGAGTATCCTCTAAATCATTTTATGTCTATCTCCAGAAAAGCTGTCAATTAAAATTTTTGTTATTTCAATTTTCACCTTAGTTTTAACAAAGAGATGAAAGTCAGATTTTTTCAAAGCAGGACCAGGAATCTCTGACAGGGATATTCTGTGTTCTGTCTCTGCTAATAGTCCCTGTGTTTCAGTTCATCTTTCTTGACATTCTGAACATGAACGATTCCATAGTTCAACATGAAGTATGAAAAAAAATCTTATAAAAAACCCTGTCTTTGGTTTCTGATCTCCCTCGTGTTTTCCAAGCAACATCAAATGGAGTAGAGCCAGGATTTAATGCATCTTTAGCACTTCTCTTGGAGACTCACCCATCAGTCTCAGTGTTTCTACTCCCAGCAATAGCTACAGAGAACAACAACACAAGGTATTATTTCTGGTCTCATGTCACTCATCACTTATGAAAGTCTCTTGCACATCCCAGTGACATGAAAGCACATTATGCTGTCATATAAATGACACCCTCTGATGGGGCCACAGTCAAAAGAAATTCATAAATGTCTTCAGGTATTTAACACCACAAGTTCAAGGTGACAAATCTCAGAAATCAAGTAAGGCTCATGTGGTTTTCTTCGGTTACCATTCACAGTCCCCAGACAAATGTGGTTTTATATTATTTTGCATTCTTTAGGTGCTCTTGACAACATATTTAAATTGCCTAAACCTCAGACGTCTCCAGGGAACCATGATAATTCCTATAAACTGATTCTGAATGAAATACGGTGACAGAATGGATGAACAAACAGACTCTTTCTGAAGAGACGAGCTGGGCTATACCACAGAGTGTAAAATTAAAAAAAAACCTTATGAATTTCCAGTCTTCATCTGACTGTGTCTCATCCCTTAACCTTTTTTTTCCCTGATACTTTTACCCATTGGCCAGGGAGAGATAAGAAGCAGCTTGAGCTCTTCCAAAGAAGTTTTGTGCATGTGTCATTTTAAATCTCATCCCTCACTTGACACGAAATGAAACAGCTGCACTGATGAAAAATGATTTATCGGAGTGTTTTCTGTAGCAAGTGACTTGCATTTGCTATCTGTTCCTAAACCAGAACAAAGTATTGTGCCATCAGCTTCAGAAACCTCTGTGCCCTACAGAGATGTAATGCTGAACTGCTTTGTGTGCTTAAATTTTGAATGTTTCGTTCAAGCACCCTTTTCACAACACCTTTAGTACTTAAGCAATTACTATTATATTACCATAAAAACACGTCATTGTTGCTCACAGGCTATGTAACCAGCTCTGGGAAGCCTAATGAGCTAGTGGAAAGGATAGGACCAAAACGGTCTTGTGGAGAAAGAAAAGCTGAACAAAATTTGATGATGCAGGAGGATTTTAATACAAAGGGGCAATGGGATACACTGCAGAATGAGATGGCACACAACACAAAGCGACACTTCAACCATGCCAGGGAAGGGCACAGGACTTACTGCCAGGGAAGGGTCCATCTTCCACTGGTTGTTCTTCTCCTGTCACAGTGTTATTGACAATCTCTGTGTCAGACCTTTCAAAAAAATTTTTTTTTCTTACATTGGCACAATGAAAGTAGGGATCTAGCATTGTGAGATGATTAACAGAAGCTGTCATCAATAATAGACAAAGTGAAAAATGCAAGAAAGAGGTGTGGGCCCGGTTTTCAGAGGTACCGAGCAAGGGTGGCTCCCGTTGATGCAATGGGCTTTCGCCATCTCTCAAAGCCAGTCCCAGCTGCGGATCCAGATCTTGTGTTTTCACCTCCTAAGTTCTTGCATGGTCCGCAGGTAGTTGGGCTGCCTTAAAACGAGCCACAGCTTCCAAGGCGGGA